CCCCTCCACCTTCCCGGGGAGGTACCAGGACGCCCACACGCGTGACACCTCCACCTTCCCAAAGATAATCAGGAAAAAATTAGAGGGGGCCAACTTGAATTAATACCCAACACAGAGTAAACTGCCAAATGTGCTCTTATGAGCAATTTACTGACTTTGCTTCACATGAGGTCTGACAATTAAGTTCATGATCCTGCCACGGTGCACATATGTTGGCAGCACCGTACGAAAAGCTTGGTCCTGATGACATGTGGCAATGTCTTGCTGAGTGGCCTTCGCTATTGATGTCATTTTTGTGTTCTGTCATAGAATGTGGGAGCTCTGATTAGAGCAAAGAACAAACATTTGTAAATTTCTCATGAAATCAGGAACATGTTAATCCAGTTTAGGGGATAATTCTGTGAAGGAAACAGCATTGTCAGTGTACAGATGGATTAAAAGTTTTCCTGAGGGGAGAGAAAATGTCACTGATGAAGAGAGTTCATGGCAGCCAGTAATGAGAATGACCAAAACAGTGCAAAAATTCATCAAATTGTGCATCAAAATCATTGGTTGACTGTGAGAAGCACAGCAGACCAAGTAAACATTGATAGAGAAACAGGACACTCCACCAGCTCACACGACACTGTCTATGAGGGAGTTTTCAGCCAGTAAACCAAAACTTGCATTGGCACACCTCCTTTCTCATCTGCTTGGCCCCCGATGACTTTTTTCTTTACCCAAAGATAAAGGAAACATCGAAAAACATTTTGATGATATCCAGGATGTCAAGGGTAATGTGAAGACAGCTCTGATGTCAGCCATTCCAGAAAGAGTTCCAAAATGCTTTGAGGGTGGGTGACCCAGCGTGGGCCCATGCACTTCCCCGTAGTGACTTGGAGTCCCCAAGGCTGCTGCTCTTTGTTCTGGGGAGCAGGCCCCTGGTCAGGGGATTAGTGCCTCTGAGAACCCAGGCAAGGCCCACCAAGGCCAGCTGAGAAAAGCTGCTCTGCAGATGGAGACGATCCTGTTTCTCATACAGAAACCACTTGGGACACCGAAGGGCTCCAGGCAGCTCAAACTTGCACCCACTCCCTCCCCCAGCCCAACATCCCTGTCACATGTACCCCCACCACCGCACAGCTGCCTTCTGAAGGTGGATCAGGAGCCCTGATGGGGCCACACGCGCACAGCCCTCTTGGGGAGTCCACGTGCACAGCCCTCTTGGGGAGTCCCCTCCCCTGCTGCTACCCACCTAACTGCACAAGCATAGCCCCTGGGCCCGAGGAATGCCCAGTTCAGAGAGGGTGGCCAGCATGGAACCACCTGGCCTGGCTGTGTCTGCTCACAGGAAGCCCCAGGCCCCTTGCCAGGATGGATGAGGGCAGACTCCAACGCCCCATCCTTGCCCTTTGCCAAAAAGGGTCTATATTTTAGTAGCCACTTGCAGTCATGTGGCCAGGTGATCCCTCCCAAACACACACAATTTAGGGATAGTGCTCCGAACAGCCCAGGAGCGGGGAGCAGCAGTCAGCCACTGAGAAACCCAGCAACAGGAAGTGTGAGTACCCTCAGGGCTATCCTGGGAGGAGGCAGGCCTCGGACAAAGTACTGTGACTTCAGCCTCATGGTGGTAGCTGGGCTGGCAGGTGTGACCCAAAACAAGCCCTGCTCCCACTGCCCAGAGCCCCTCTGTCTGCCCAACCCCCTGAAGTTGGAGAGCTGAGCACGCAAGGTGAGGTGTAACCAGCCTTCTTGCTTGCTGTGGACAAAACCTGGGTTCTAAAAGGAGTGACTAGGGTGGTGCCTGTGGCTCAAAGTAGTAGGGCGCTGGCCCCATAGGCTGGAGGTGGCAAGTTCAAACCCAGCCAGGCCAAAAATAAATAAATAAAAATAAAAGGAGTGACTATTATGAGTCCAAGTGTCTTCCGTCCTAAGAGTGTAGCACAAAGCTTCCATCTGTCCAGTGAAACCTCTGGTCCACCCTCGAATCCCTGTTAGTACCTACTGGAAACTTCTTTACCCCATTCAGAGAAACAAAAGACCCAGAACACACATTCCCTCGGTCTAGGACCACTAAGGTCACCCCTGAGGCAAAGTCAGGCAGCCACGTCCAGTCCCGCCAGCACTCCATCCCCAGTGCCTCTGAACACCAGGGGCTTCCACAGAGCGTGATCCCTGCCTGCCAGCAGCCCCTGCAAGGTGGGTGTGGGCTGCATGGAGAGGCCTGGCCATTCCAGATGGGACACAAAGGTAAGCACCTGGGGTTGTGCCTCACAGGGTGGCCCTGTCCTCCAGGCTGTGCTGAAGCCCTCTGCCTGCCTCCCACACATAAGCCTGCAGTCATGGTGTGGACCCTGGGACAGCACCTGCTCAAGTCTCCCACTGTCACAGCCAGAGAAACAGCCCAGCAGTGGGGGCAAGGAATGGCAGCCATGGCCCCCCAACCCCTTTCCTATGCTTACTGGGGGTGTAAGGCAGCTCCCAGGCCCAGATACCTCCTATAGCCCCGCCAAGGTAGATCCCTCCACCCCCTTGGACACAGTGAAAGGGCTGACACAAAATCACTTCCCCTGGTTCTGGACTTGATGGGGGCACACAGGACCTTGGGGCTGGGCAGAGTTAAGCCCTCTGTTCCCAAGGTAGGACAGGCATTACAGCTGTCACAACACCAGCCAGGCTGGGGCTCAGCTGACACAGACTCTGACTCAGGGGAGAGGGGCCCACCCCTTAACTGCCCACCAGCTCACCCTGAGGGAGAAGAGCTGGGATGGTGCCTGGCCATGCACCAAGATTATGGCAGCAACGTTAGTGCCTGGCACAGCCCCAGAGCATCCACTGAAAGGGCCAGGGCTCAGAGTGGATGTCCGGGATGGGCTTGTAGTCTCCACCCCCGTTCCCACGGGCAGCAGGCTCAGAGCAGCAGGACCCTGAAGGCCAGGGGCAGTTCCCCACCGGAGACACACAGCATGTTCACACATGCTCACAGGTGTATGACACACATGTAACACAGACATGTGTACACCAACATGCATGTACACACCAACACACATGCACACATCAATGTATATGCTGAAACACGTACACACAGACATACGTGTTACACTGACACACACCAACAC